GCTCCTAGTGTTTTATCACAGTGTAATACAAAGCTTAGGCTAATCTTTATTTGGTAAATAAAACTGTAAAATTTTGAAATATATGTACGGAATGGTGATTCCTAAATCAATATATACAGTATGTAAACCTTCATCATTGTAGTAATAAAATGAAAAAATTAAAATCACATGAGCATATTCCACTCTTGCACCCTCTTCACAAATGACTATAAATCCCATTTTATGAATAAATGAACCCATAGACTCCAGATAGTGCTATCAACCCCCTTCCCTCCCAACCCCCACCACCACACACACACACACACATACAAAAATACCACAGATGAAGCCATAGATCATTCCTGCCTGTAGCTTGCCTGTAGATGATGTCTGGAAGGAGGTTTACTAGCAGTCCTAGATGTTTACAGTACATGTACACAGACTTTGAGTGTCTAGATTTAAAATGTGTACGTACTGCATCTGTAACACCCTATAGGGCTGATTCAACTTGATTAAAGCTTAGACGAGAACTTCTTAACAACTCAAAAAGTCCCCCAAAACACACGTATTCTTCTAAATGATCTTAATTAGATAATTATGTGAAATGTTTAATAATGAGAAAAAATTGGAGGAAAGAGGTGTGGCTTCGAGAAAAAGCTGTAAGACCAACTGTGAAAAAAATCAATAATGGCAATGTGCATTTAAAATAAGCTTACCTGAGCCACCTGAGCTGAGCAGGCTTCTCTTATAAGGAGTTAACGTGGTGTAAATAGCTATTACTGCGTCAAAATGTAATGAGTGTATTTCAGAGCAATAGCTGAAATTTCGAGTTTGGTCTCCCTGTGTCCTTGCTCGATAGTGTTGCGTCGTATTCCACGAAAGGCCTGAGCCAGTGGTACTATACGTACATCATGGATACACCTACGTCATTTACGATATACTGAAACGCCACAACACCTGTAATCTGCCGCCACGTTTCTCTGTTGTCGGCNGCTCCTAGTGTTTTATCACAGTGTAATACAAAGCTTAGGCTAATCTTTATTTGGTAAATAAAACTGTAAAATTTTGAAATATATGTACGGAATGGTGATTCCTAAATCAATATATACAGTATGTAAACCTTCATCATTGTAGTAATAAAATGAAAAAATTAAAATCACATGAGCATATTCCACTCTTGCACCCTCTTCACAAATGACTATAAATCCCATTTTATGAATAAATGAACCCATAGACTCCAGATAGTGCTATCAACCCCCTTCCCTCCCAACCCCCACCACCACACACACACACACACATACAAAAATACCACAGATGAAGCCATAGATCATTCCTGCCTGTAGCTTGCCTGTAGATGATGTCTGGAAGGAGGTTTACTAGCAGTCCTAGATGTTTACAGTACATGTACACAGACTTTGAGTGTCTAGATTTAAAATGTGTACGTACTGCATCTGTAACACCCTATAGGGCTGATTCAACTTGATTAAAGCTTAGACGAGAACTTCTTAACAACTCAAAAAGTCCCCCAAAACACACGTATTCTTCTAAATGATCGTAGCTAGATAATTATGTGAAATGTTTAATAATGAGAAAAAATTGGAGGAAGGAGGTGTGGGTTCGAGAATTAGCTGTAAGACCAAGTGTGAAAAACAAATCAACAATGGCAATCTGCATTTAAAATAAGCTTACCTGAGCCACCTGAGCCGAGCAGGCTTATCTTATAAGGAGTTAACGAGGTGTAAACAGCTATTACTGCGTCAAAATGTAATGAGTGTATTTCAGAGCAGTAGCTGAAATTTCGACTTTGGTCTTCCTGTGTCTTTGCTCGATAGTGTTGCGTCCTGTTCCACGAAAGGCCTGAGCCAGTGGTACTATACGTACATCATGGGTACATCTACGTCATTTACGATATACTGAAACGCCACAACACCTGTAATCTGCCGCCACGTTTCTCTGTTGTCGGCGTCTTCAAATAGAATTTTCCTTATTTTTCCCGTGCAACAGAGCACCAGAATTTTGTCTAACATGCAGTA